AGGGCCCAGGCTGCACCCCAGAGCGACCACGTCAGACTCTTTAGGGTGGGACCCCAGGTGTCACGGATTTTCACTTTTACCTTTTATATTTTTAATTATGTTTTTATTAATTTTTAGAGAGAGAGGAAGGGAGAGGGATAGAGAGCAATATGGATGAGAGAGAAACATCGATTGGCTCCCTCCTGCACACCCCCTACTGGAGGTGGAGCCTGCAACCAGGAATTGAACTGGTGACCTTTCGGTTCCTGGGTTGATGCTCAACCACTGAGCACACGGGCCGGGCAGGGTGTTTGTTTTCTTTAAATCCTCAGGCAAGGATATGTTTCTATTGACTTTTAGAGAGAGAGGAAGGGAGAGGGAGAGGGAGAGAAACATCAGTTGGCCGCCCCCCACACCCCAACCGAGGATCGAACCCGCAACCCAGGTATGTGTCCTGACTTGGATTTGAACCCACAACCTTCTGGTGTATGAGACAACGCTCCAACCAATGAGCCACCGGGCCAAGGCCACCTGTTTTCAAGTCTTCCCAGGCGATCCCAATGCTCACGTATATGAGAACCTGTGGATCATGTTCCCCATGTTTCCCTCCAGCATCACGCTGTTGAGGCCCACCCTGAGGCCCATCCATTGCCCTGTCTTCTGTGACTGGAGGATTAAATGAAAGGTGAGAATCAGCCCCCCCTGCCCCCCGCCAGCCCCCCCCCCCCCTCACCACCACCTGTGGGTTCCAGTCCTCAGCTTGCCTTTGGGGCAGCAGCCTGCTCAGGACTTAGCCCAGCTCCAACCACCCTTCGTTTGCACCTCCTGCTCCAACCCCTGCCTCCTCCATTATGTTTGAAATCCGTCTTCCCAGGTATGGGTTGGGGGCCTCTTGCTTTTTCCTCACAGCTGCTGATGGGGGCCTGGGAGGAAAGGGAGCTATAATTGGGGAGGTGGGGGAGCCTGTTCAGTTTGAGATACTAAGCATTTGTTTTTTCTAATCCCCGAGGCAGCAGCTGTTAACCTTTTCCAAGGAGGGCTGACCCCGCCTGGGGTCTGGCAGGGTGTGGGTGCCCTTGGGTGAGCTCTGAGTCTGCACTGTCTCCCAGGGGACACAGCCTGAGGAGGGAGGTGGGAGCCTTGAATTCCAATCCCTCCTTCCACTTGCTCCGTCCCGTGCAAGTCAAACAGCACACCTGAGCATAGTTTGCCCATCTATAAAATAGGCCAGCGCCTGCTCTCTCATGGGGCCAATGAGAGCAGCGATTCACGCGGATTCAGATGCGCTGAGGCTACGTGCTGTTTGGTTGGTAGCTTGTGCAGACGTGTGAGCGTGGGGGTGGGCTTGCTGACCGGAGTACAGAGCAGACCCACGGCGGAACCCCAACAGGAGGTGAGGGGGAAGCTCGCAGGTGAGTTTGGAAGTCCTGTTTCCTACATGGGCCTCCAGGATTGGGGAGGGGCCTGAGGAAGAGAGGTACTGGGGTGACGCTGCAGCCCTAAGGCCCGTGGCCCTCCCCCACTGCCAATGGTGTAGTCAAGAGCAGAGCAAGCGACCAGGGGTCTTTTCGGGGTAAACAAGTATCAAAGCTGCAACAGACAAAGAGCAGCAGTGGTCGCTGGTGCTCACCACCCACCAGGGGAGGTTGTGTTTCTTATTTTTTTAAATGCATTTGCGTGTTTTTAATTAAATCTTTATTGTTGAAAATAGTACATGTCCCCTTCCCCACCCCCCACTGACCCCTTCTAGCCAGCTCCCACCCCCTATCCCAGGCCTTCACCACCCTATTGTCTGTGTCCGTGGGTTATGCATATATGCATGCAAGTTCTTTGGCTGATCTCTTCCCACCCACTCACCCTCCCTCCCCTGCCTTTCCTCTGAGATTCCGCAGTCTGTTGCATGCTTCAATGTCTCTGGATCTATTTTGTTCATCAACTTATTAGATTCCACATGTGAGTGAGGTCATGTGATACTTGTCTTACTCTGATTGGCTTATCTCACTTAGCATAATGCTCTCCACGTCCCTCCAAGCTGTCTCAAAGGGTAAGAGACCCTTCTTTTTTACAGCTGCATAGTGTTTTATAGTGTAAATGCCCCACAGCTTTTTTATCCACTCATGTACTGATGGGCACTTGGGCTATTTCCAGATCTTAGCTATTGTAAACTGTGCTATGAACATAGGGGTGCATACATTCTTTCCGATTGGTGTTTTGGGTTTCTTATATTCCTAGAAGTGGGATCACTGGGTCAAATGGCAGTTCCATATTTAATTTTTTGAGGAAACTCCGTATGTTTTCCATAATGGCCACACAGTCTGCATTCCCACCAGCAGTGCACTAGGGTTCCCCCTTCTCCGCATCCTCGCCAGCACTTGTCATTTATTGATTTGTTGATGGTAGCCATTCTGACGCATGTGAGGTGATGCCCCATTGTCATTTTGATTTGCATCTCTCTGATGGTCAGTGACCTTGAGCATTTTTTCATGTCTCTTGGCCATCTGTATGTCCACTTTGGAGAAGTGTCTATTTGTTAATTGGACTGTTTGTCTTCCTTTTGTTAAGTTGTACGAGTTTCTTATATTATGGGTATTAACCCTTTATCAGATGTATCGTTGCAAATGTCCTCCCTTTTCATTTTGTTGGTTTCTTTTGCTGTGCGGCTTTTTGTTTTGATGTAGTCCCATTTCTTTTCTTAGTTTTCTTTGCCTTAGAGATGTATCTGTAAACATGCTGCTACGAGAGATGTCTGAGATCTTGCTGCCTATGGTTTCTTCTAGGATTTTTATGGTCTCACAAGTTACATTAAGTCTTTTATCCACCTTGAGTTTATTCGTGTATGGTATAAGTTGGTGGTCCAGCTTCATTTTTTTTGCATGATCCGTCCAGTTTTCCCACATCATTTATTGAAGAGTCTGTCTTTACTCCATTCTATATGCTCTTGTCTCCTCTGTCAAATATTGAGTGTAATGGCTTGGGTCGTTTCTGGGGTCTCTGTTTCGTTCCATTGACCTATATGCCAGTACTAGGCTGTTTTTGGGGGTTTTTTTTTCAGGCTGTTTTGATTACAGTGTCTTTGTAGTATAACTTGATATCCGGTGTTGTGATTCTTCCAACTTTGTTCTTACGGTTGATGTGGCTACTCGGGGTCTTTTTTGGTTCCATGTACATTTTTGGAGAATTTGTTCTAGATATGTGAAATACGCTGTATTTTAATAGGGATTACATTGAATCTGTAGATTGTTTTAACTTTCAGCCTCAAATTGGTAAATTGGAAGAATGTGTTACTTTATTTTTTTTTGACAGAGAAGTTTCTGTTTGTAAAACAAAAACACCTCCCTCGCCGCTCCGCCCGCCTCCCCCCCCCCCCCCCCCCGTTACAAAATGCAAGTCTGATTATGATAACAGCCCCTTGCTGTAAACTGCCTAATGGCTTGGGGGTTGTTCTAAAATAGACAAAAACCTTTCATCGAGACCAGGACTGTCCAATAAAAATACTATGTAAGCCACATTTAAAAAGTAAAAACAAGTGAAGTTCATTTTAACCTATTTATTTGACCCATTTATCAAATCCTAGTATTTTATACCTAGAGCGTATCTCATTTCATGTGGCCAGTGGCTACCCATGCGACAGCACAGGGCAGCCCTCCCATGGCCTGGCTGCTGCCTGCACCCTCAGTCCCTGCAGCCACCGTCGCTCCCCAACGGATCCCTGGGAAGCTCCTCTCTCTCTTCCTTCTGGATCTGAAGCTGACTCATCCTTTAGATGTCAGGTCAATGCCTGGCCTTCAGATTCTTTTCTAGACGCCCTCATCCCATGTTTTTCTCACCACGCCCACAACTGTACTTTCCCATGTACTTAAGACCCCTCTTCCGCCAGCCAGCTTGTAACTCCAGGACAGAGACCATTGCGGGCTTTTGTTGTTTTAACATCACTCCCCGGGCTTAGCGTCTTGCAGAGCAGGCTTCCAACCTACTGTGGGGTGGAGGCTAAGTATGGTGTGACGTTCGCTGCTTTTTCTGCTCTCTGGGAACGGCGCCTTATAAAGGGACTCCTCTGTGTATCTCTGCTAGAGAACCCGAGACACAAAGCACTCAGTGCTGAAAATGTTCAAGTAGAAATTTAAGCACAAAGATAAATATTTCTTCCCCAATTACGCACCCCTTAAAAATACTCAGCTCCTTTTCATGATTTGGGCTGTAAGGAAAATTACTCTTCAAGCTTGAAAGTAATTATTGCCCTTCGGTGACATTTTCCCTTGAGAAGCTGCGGAGGAGGAAGGGGAGATCACTGTCCCGTTTAACTGGCAGAGCTGAGCGCCAAATGTGGAGGTGCCGCCGTTCCTCCTTCCTGTTAACACTTTTCCAGGTGAACAGCAAGCTCAAACCCAGTCACCCAACGGATCCAGCTGATACCAAACTTGATGACGCCCATCTAGGGGCTCCAGCCCCTCCACCATGTTGCAAAGCCAAACTCCTCCACCTTCAGTCACTATTGTTCCTTCTCAGGACAGTAAATTTGAAGACTCCCTCTACGCCACTGCCCCCAAACATGGTTGAATTATCCATTTCTCAGGGCCTACCTCTCTCTCTCTCACCTTGAAGTCTCGTCGCGTGTGTGTGTGTGTGTGTGTGTATGTATGTACATGTGTACATGTACGTACGTGTGCGGTAGGAATCACTCGGGAGTCTCAGGCTACACATTCCCTTGAAGCTTTCCAAAAACTCAACCTAGTGCAAACAAGTCTCGTGTTGTACAAGGGCGATGCATTTAAATAACAATAGTATATTTCAAATCCTAGCCTGCCTCCAAACTGCAAGCTTTTTGTTTGTGGGTTTAACAGGCATACATCCCAGAGCCTGCCCAGCACCTCCCGAAAAACCTCAGATAATGAAAAGATTATAGCTGCCAACACAAGCTCCATATCTACTTATTATTCAGTTCTTGGGATTTTCTATGCTACAAAATTAATAATGTTGAAAGGCTTTAAAATTAGAATTTTCTTTTACAAATGAATTTGCAGGTGATCTAGAGCTGGTGCTTCAAGTCAGAATTCAGAGCCCCAAAGAAAATGACTTCATTGAAGTTGACTGAACAAAGAGCTGCTATCAAAACCAACTAAAAGTGAGTTGCTGTGAACTGGAGATTAATCTAGCATATGAAATAGATCTTCCCTCACCTCCAAATTCCCAATAGCTCAGTGTTAATACAGGCATTACATGAACACTTCTCTCACCCAACTGTCCAAAAAGCAGAAATTTTAAATACTGTAGGTGCAGAAATGGTACTTTTCCACTCATGAATATGAGTGAATCTGACCTGAATCTGCAGTTTACCCATTACCCATGGACCTTTTTAAAAGTTATTTCATGTTTTAAATTTGTCACTCTGGCGAGATGACTGATTTGGGAAATAAATTCAAAGGCAAGCTCTCTGTCTGCTCAGGCCAAGGCAACGGTGGGAGCCTCCATAGGCCTCACAGAAGCACCTCTGCACTGAACACACTCACCTAAGCCATGTGTTTAAGACAGCATGGCCCCCTGCCGAAACCGGTTTGGCTCAGTGGATAGAGCGTCGGCCTGCGGACTGAGAGGTCCCGGGTTCGATTCCGGTCGGAGGCATGTACCTGGGTTGCGGGCATATCCCCAATGGGAGATGTGCAGGAGGCAGCTGATCGATGATTCTCTCTCATCGATGTTTCTAACTCTCTATCTCTCCCCCTTCCTCTCTGTAAAAAATCAATAAAATATATATATTAAAAAAAAGAGCTAAAACTATAAGATTTAAAAAAAAAAAAAATTTAAAAAAATAAAAATAAAAAAATAATAATAAAAAAAAAAAGACAGCATGGCCCCTGACACAAGCCATCCTACAGTGCTGTGTTCCCGAGGATGGGATATGGGTGTCGGGCCAATTCCCAAGTGCCACCTCCATAACGCATTTTCAATTTTTAAAACTTTGAGGGAAGAGAGGGTTAGAAACACCAATGATGAGAATCATTGATCAGCTGCCTCCTGCATGCCCACTACTGGGGGATTGAGCCTGAAACCAGGGCATATACCCTGACCGGGAATCAAACCATGACCTCTGGATTCATGGGTCAACGCTCAACCACTGAGCTACATGGGCCAGGCTGATTTTGTTTTGAAATAGTGAGGACAATTTAGTTAGGCAGGGCTCAGGGTTGGTGATGTTGATAGCCTGAAACCACCATTTGTGCAAATGTGAGATTTTAGGTTGTTTTTTAGTGAATATAGGAGAATCAATTGAAAAAATTAATGTTGGGAGAAAAGCTTACACTATCCTAGTAGCAGAACATTAACAGGTTTTACCTAGGGCAGCGGTTCTCAACCTGTGGGTCGCGACCCCTTTGGCGGTCGAATGACCCTTTCACAGGGGTCGCCTAAGACCATCCTGCATATCAGATATTTACATTACGATTCATAACAGTACAACATTACAGTTATGAAGTAGCAACGAAAATAATTTTATGGTTGGGTCACAACATGAGGAACTGTATTTAAAGGACCAGAAGGTTGAGAACCACTGGCCTAGTGGCTGGTTACAAGAAGATAACAAGGGCAGCAATTTAATTATCACAAGGATAAGAAAATAGCCATTCCAAGTTGTTAAACACAGCCTGCACCAATATATATATTAAAAAAATGTATTTTCTATGATAAACTTGAACAGTCCTAAGGCTGCAGATTAATACAAAAAATTCGAGGTGCTTTAAGAGTAATTATAGTTTCACTTCATCCACAGGCTGTGAAAACTAATTTGAGTAAGGTGCAAGTCCACTGAAAACTTTCTCATTTTAAGATACTGAAATGAACCAAGCACCAGAATGCTGTCTTTAAAGTTTCAGGACATATTTAGGTTAAATTATAGAATGATCTAGAATTCTTGGTCTCCCACACACTGTTAATTTACAACAGGATGCCTGGCAGCTCCTGACTCGCCCTTTTACACCCCTCAGAGCTGAAGTCCAGGGAGGAGCGCCTGGCCATCAGAAGTCCTGAACTCACCCCAGGGGGATCCCTGTCTCACCTGGGGAGCGTGTTTGGGAGCAAAAGGGCCACTGCTAATCAACATTTCACATGTCATGGCGCCCCCACTAGGAGCAGAACAAGACCAAAAGGCAGCAGGTTCTCTGAGGTGACAACCTAAGCAGAACAAAGGGAAGGACCGGCGGCCAGCTCTTCTCTTCTCGGCCCAGTTTTCCTTCCTGGAATGGCGTAACCTGAGAGAAGAGCTTTCCTGGAAGCTGCTTTAACAGCAGAACAAAAGCATCCGCCCCCTGGCTGACATCCCATTTCTAGCTTTTAAAAAACGTTAAGACCCTACATTTGGCACTCAAGGAACTGTACCTTTTAAATCTGCCAAACTGAAGGAGGGCTCATTTCACAAAATACACTGTGAATACATCTATTTTATTAGGCACTACCTACACCAAAACCTGTCCCTTTTTAACTTGAAATTTTATTAAGAAATATCGTACAAACAGAAACACCCAGGGTACAGCCGGAAGAAACCACGCACTCAATTCCATGTATTTCACAGCGTGGTCTGGCCTGCACAGAAATAGCAGCGAGTGAAGTGTTCTTCTGCAGCTTGCTTTCCTGACCAGTCATCCACGTTCACACCTGTAGCTGTAGTTCAGGCTGACTTGTGTGGAATTCCACTGTAGAATATATCACAGTACTTATCCAGTGGATTATTAATGGACATTTGGGGGCCTTTCCAGGTTTTTGTTGTTTTTCCCCTTTTCTTCCTACTACAAATGACACTGTTATAACATTCTAAGTCCATCTCCTGGCACACATGTGTAAAGAGTTTCTCTAAGGTACGTATCTAGGGGGTTGGAAGAGCCACAAGAGAAAATATGACACAGCCAGTGTCAACCTGTCTCCCATTTTTTCTGAATATTCTTAAATCTGTTGACAACTGATCTATTTGGGATGGCTGAGAGGAAGAGAAAGGTTAACTATGAAACGCTCAAACTGCATTGCTAAAATAGGCACTAAAAATCTGATACAATGAAAGCCATTTCTCAGCACTGGTTTACTTGAAGCGTACTGCTATGTCTCCCATGTTTCAAAATGCAGGAGGGAGACAGCAAGATTCACAACACGTGGTACACTATCATATATTATAAACTCACATGCAGGCTTACATCCCCCCTCAGCCCACTTCCCCACAAAACACCACTTGGAAGAGGAACTGTTACCAGTCGTAGCTCCTGTAGAGGAAGAAGAGAGGGACAGGAGAAGGAAAACATGGATCACTAAACACTACTACTGATGTATTGTTTAGAATTTTAAAAAAATTTTATTTTTCTACCGTTGCTTTTTTTGAACCATGTACAAGCACTATGATTATGATACAAATTTTTTTTTTTAAAGTAGTCAGCTGGGGTTCTTTGACACAAAAAAACTAAAAATCAGTCTGAACTCGAACTTGTAAATCCGAATGAAGTCCCATTCCACAGAAAGTGTAAACAATTCTCAAGTGTATTTTCTGTTTCATGCACTTTAGAAAAAAATGTTTAAAAACATTCACACAGCTTATCTACAATGCATTTTTAAAAGCACAAAATGGATGCAAGCCCAAAAAACTTCTAACCTAGGTTGTGTTTTAACATCTCTAGGAACTTAATCGGAAGGTGGCTGAACTCTGCGCGTACGTGGAGACACGAACATACCACCTGCAGCAAAGTGATGCCAAAAGGAGAGGACAGAAACACCTAAGGTGGGCGATATGCCTAGTTTATTATAAGCTCAAGATAAGAAACGTATTTCAATTCGAACTAAAAAAATAAATATATTGTGATTTGTTTAAAAATAAAAAGTCTTAACAAAAGGGGTAGATCAATACAATGTACAAGAGTCTCTACATTGCAGTTGGGAGGATGCCAGAGCAGGAGACTCAATTCCCAGGGCAATTAAAAAAAAAAAGAGGCACAACAAAAAGTAAGCTATCACAGTAATACTATGGGTGATGACTGATCAATTAAAAGTTCACCCCATTTATTTTAATCAACGGTTTAAAACCTTTTCTTTTAGAGACATATGCTGAAATATTTACAGATTAAATGATACATGTGAGACCTGAAAATAATTAAGGGGGGGGAGCAGGGGACAAACACATACAAAATAAGATAAGCCTTGAGTATTACCAGTGATGAGTTTTGACAGAGGTTAATGATACTGGTTCTACTATGTGTATGTCTTTTATTGGCTCTCCTTAAAGGCTTTTCAGAAAGGAAACATGCATTAACCAACTAGCAACTTTTAGGTCTGCAAGGCAGAAATGTATATGTCTTATACAGAGCCTCTTAATACTAGATTCTTATGAATTTGATTACTAAGAATCATTTCCCCTTAAGCCTAATAAATTTTGGGTGTTGGGAGTGACCCAACTTCTAGAGCTCCATAACTAATTAATCCTGAACACTTTAGGAGCCAGGCCTCCCTCCAAATCCCACATAACTTCAATATCAACCTAAGTGTTTGTAGAGATATTCATTTCCTGTACATTATTAAAATGTTAGCTATTCCAAGTGAAGCAGAAAGGAATAATAAACCTGGCATTTTAATACCTTAATATTTAATAATAGAATATAGTAAACTGTCACTTTAAATTCTCTCCCTACAGGCAATCATGTCTAACTACACAAAGCAATGCTTGGAGGTGGCTGATTTTGTGTTAGATTGTTTTTCCATCCCATCTTAATTATCATGTGAATCATCTTTGACAAATGCAGATAACCCATTTGCTGCATCTTCAGAATCACTTAGGTAAGCCAGGAGTGCACTGTCCTCAAGGCATTATCTCATAGAGCCTCTGAATTGTCAGCTTCATGGTTTTCCAAAGCTGGGTGGAGAGTATTTTAGTAAATTCTGTGACAGTTCATTATGCCTATTGAAAAAATGCAGTGGCATAACACTGAGGCCCAGACCTACTAGATTCCATGTGCTAGCTCCCAACATGGAGCCAGATGACCTTGGGTAAGTCATTTAAACCACTTACTCAATTTCTTTACCTATAAACTGATGGCAATACTCGAAGACTATAAATCACAAAATATTATGACATGTAACGAGGTAATTTTATACAGTCGTTGACAGAGTGGGCTATCAATAGGAACTCACTACCAAATTTTCCATACGTGGCCAAAGGGGAAAGAAATCATCAGCTTATCCATCAGTTTTTTAAAAAATCCTTGTTCAACCTATTACACACCCATAGAAATTTACATTTGTATTCTAACAAGATTGGGTAAAAGAAATCTTGATACACGATTTAAAACAAAGACCAAAAATGAGTTAAAAGTTCTTGAATGCTCTTCTACATCATTATATCACAGCTAGAGGATAGTGATCATCAGACGGATGTGTTGAATTTACTACCACTAAAGATATCTCAGAGATGTAAAAATATATTCTAGTGCACTATACATCTTTGCTACTTAAAAGCAAAATTCAAATTTACTCTTTACTACCCCAAATTGAAGCACCATTATTAAAAACATTTAAACTGTGGAAATTCTATAAAAATTAGTCTTAAACAGAACCACATAAAACTGTGCACTAATACCTCTAGTGTAACAGTGTACCTCTTATATTTAAAACAAGGGACTAGTTCAGAGTCAATGCCTTTATTAGAAAAAGATGAATACTAAAACTTTCCAATGACAGAGACAATCAAATCTGTAACAGAAAGTCAGAGATACTTTATTTTCACTTCTAAATCCAAAGGCTAGGAATAGCAGAGTTGTAAAAATGGAATCCCACTTAGTCTGATTCACACGAATACTAACGTTTAATCCTGTTTTCAAAGTCCAAGAGTGAAAACTTGCAATTAAACACTGAGCAAGCCACATGTTTAGGTAATATTTCTTAAAAAGTCTTAAAGAAAAAAATATGATACATGACCTAAGTTTTCAGTGGCATATATATATTAACACATGTTCTGAAATCTGGTAGGTCACATGAGTCCTGAATTAATTTTTAATAATAATAAAAAAAAAACAACTAACTGAGCTTTATACTTTTTCTATGCCACTATAGTTTTCTTTCACCTCATTTTAATGTCGGTCTTCACTTTATGCCGTTTTCAGTTTTCTTCCAAAAATCTTCGAACAGTAGTCCTATAATGCAAAATTTGGGGAAAAATGATAATTAGACAGCATGTAAAAGGCAATCTTTTATGACTAAGTGTTGGCCCAGTCACTAACTGCTAATAATATATGTATATGGAATGTTTTTGTATTCTTTTTCATTATCAAGGCATCAGTGTGGTCTTAAAGCCATGTGCCTGTGTATACTTGCCTATGTGGGAATGGCTCACACAGACATCACATTATACTGCTGTCCTAGAAAAGGAATGCCACCGATAAATCAACTAATTGGTACTCCCTTTCATTAGGAATGTTCTATCCCACGCCACTAGCCCAAAGAATGAATAGTTTGTAGGTTTTAAGAACTCTGATAAAACCTGACTTTTAATAGTTCTTTAAAAACCCAAATTCATTCTGTATGGTTCATCAGTTCTTTACATTCAGATTGAAAATGTCTATCCTTGCTATTCACTGCTGCTTTAAATGTATCAGCCAGCGACTATTCCTATATACCTCTGGTTGACGGCAAAATTCTCCTACACAGTAGGAAATATTAAACACATACCTCTTAAAGACTTGAGAATTGCATTGAATGTAACAAGGCGAATAATATGAAGTGTTTATTGTATTTAAAATTCTTTAAAGATATCTAATTCTGGGCACCACTGCATCCCTACATACAGTTGAAAAAAAATTCCATTCTGTTAACATTTGATTTATAAGTTTCACGCAATACACAAAAACCCCTCTGTGCTTCTTGTAAAGAACAAAAAAGATACACAACAGTTAAGCGTAAAGATCACAGGCAATAGCATTCAAACATGGATGTGGGTAGAGAAAGGAGTACCTGGCATGAGTACCTGCTTAGTTTGACTGAATCCTTGATTTTTAATTTGGCTTTTCATGGGCCGCTCACAACACCAACGCTGTGTGAGGTATGGTAGTCAGCTGCAATAATTCATAAACCCTACACTTCCATCAATCCAATGCTACTGGCTCTCGAGTTACAGAACAAACTGCATTAGAATGCAAGGCAATAAAGCAAAAAACTAGAAACATCCTTGACAAAGAAATAACTAGCAGTTTAATTAAAACAAAGTAGTCCAACATGTGCCTCAGAAATATTTAAGTTTTTAAAGCAATGTCTCTGCCAATGTACCAACACAAGATGGACTTAATACCAAAAAGAAAAAAAAAAAAACAGTTCAACCTTTTTATTTAAAAAAATAAAAAGAAATGACAGCAAAATCCCTAAAAAAAGGATAATTAACTTTTCAATGGCGACTATATTACAAATGTGGGCAATAATTTCCAAAGAGGCACACTAATGGGGGCACGAGTCTGCTACAAAATAGCTGAGACAAAACAATGTACCTCAAAATGTTTTGCAGGACTACACTGTCTTTTCCTTCAGAAGATGTATGTCTTCTTACTCGGCTTAGTTCCATCTTCATCTGTGCATACTTACGCTGCACTGTCAAACAGTAACAAAAAGCCCTAATCAAAGTGAGAAACAATACACTTACCTCTGTCTGATCTGAGGTCTTATCAGATCAGTTTTAATTGGACTGAGTGTCACCTTCAGATTTAATGTCTTCACTGGTCCCATTGACCTCATTCTTAGTATCACTTTCCTTTGATTCAGTGTTTGCGTCTTCACTCTGTTTTTCTCGACTACTGGACTTCACACTACTTTTTTTATCATCAGATCCCCTCTTTTCTGCCATAAAAGAAGACATTGATCGTGGATTTTAAAGTAAAATACATGATACTTTGAAAAGTGAAACAATCAAGAGATAAAAAGACAATCACTTCCCACAGACTACAAAGTACACAGTTTGGTCAATTTATCAAAGAGATAAAATCAGTAATTTATGGAGGAGTGGGAAATCAGAGAAAACAAAAGGTAAAATAGTGGGCAAATTATCCAACTAGTAAGAATCTAAAGTACAGGTAAGTCCAAATCACTGCAGAAACTAAAATTTAAGTAAATTTTATTTAGGGTAAAAACCACCAAAAAGCAATGGGAAAGATATGGAAGACAGTACACAGAAGCTGTGTTCACATGAAGTAAATTTATTAAGTTAAATGGGTGAAAAAAGTTGTATATTTAGTAGGCACGTTTCTCCAACTATTTTTAAGTACAAAAGATTGCTTAACTATCTATACTAGAAGCCCGGTGCACAAAATGCGTGCACTGGTAGGGTCCCTAGCGGCTGCTGGCTGGCCCCACCCCCTGGTCAAACTCCGGGACAACTACTGGTAGAGGGGACAATTTGCATACTCTGCTTTTATTATATAAATTATATTTGAATGCCCAAGGACAAGCCCAATGAAGGAAAGTGGGTCTTAAATCTCAATCCAAGTACTGAACTTTTTTACGCTTTGCTAAGTAATATTTAGGCCAACTCAAGAGTTGTTTTTCTAAAAGGAGACATTAAGTTCAACTCAGCTACAAATAAAGAATGAAAAAGCGAGTCTCGATGTTTTTCTTGTACTGTTTTCTTTGGAATGGTGAAGCTTCAGACTAAAAGTAAAAAGTGGTACACAGAATAAGTATAGGGTAGCCTTTTCAGTTCCAAGTATTACCTAACAAAAGTTTTCTACAGGAAATGTTAAAGCAACCTACAAACTTTCTGGGGGGAAAAAAACCCATTTTTTTCCCCTTACAACTAAGTTAAGAATAGCTGGTCTAGCAGACTAGTTCATAAGACAGACGTTTTAAGAGAAGCAGAACCCTTCACAGAACCTGGACAAAGGTGTTAAGACATAACATTAGTAACTGGGAGAGGAATGGTATGAAAACAAAATATGGTATAAGGGACACCATCCAAAGAATGTAAGAATTGAAGATCTTATGTGAAGGAGCATGGTCAGTCCACAACACTTGCAAAACGCACAAAGCAACGTCCAAGTAGCTGACTGCAGGACTTGCTTCACGTCTGTCTGTCCACTTATGAGAACTGTGCCAGTACAGTGTGCTCTAACTGACCTTGTGGGAAAGTCCTCCCTTTGTGCCTTATGGGCTTCTCCGGTGCACAGGTAGCTTCAATGAGGAAGAGTCGTCTTGTTGCCCCGTAGAGGACTAGTAGTCAGTCCAATAATCTTATCTTCTGCCCTATGTAAATATGGTAGATCTTAATAGTCCTAAGGACATCCACAAAGTGTGGTGGATTCTAGGGCTATAGATTAAAAAAAGGAAACTCTCTTGGCAAAGAGAGTACCCTCAATTGGTTGGCGGTAAGAAAAATGGGTTTGTGTGAGAAAATCGCTTTCATTTGCGGAGTTAAAGTGCTTCTGTCACAGCACCTGGAGTAGTGAGCTCCCTCTTACTCATTAGCATATCAGATGTTGGCTACTGCTCACATCTGGCCTCAAAGTTCAGACCTTCCGTCATTTATATACCTGGGAGTGCCTGAGTGGCAATCTCAAAAGCCAATAAAATCATACCATCACTTCTAAAAGAGGCCCAAAGTTAAAGATAAATCTATCACAGCATACTCAGCTTTTCAAGATGGATCTGATGCAGTTTTCTCTGAATCAAGCCCTCTATCCTTCCTCAGTATCTCACCAGGAAAATCCCGGTTTGTCCATATTCTAAACACAACACAGTTTACTTGAAAGTTATATTACATTCCATGATGTCATTACAATTAGGATTATAGCTAAGCAATCCAGGACATCTTTTTTTTTTAATCCAGAAATTACATAAGCACATCTGCTTTAGGCCAGTGGCTTTTATTGCTCAATGTTGATCCCAGATAGCTATGAAAGCTTGCTAACTTTTGTCCCTGAGAACCAATCCAACTATTTTAAGTAGCATGAATGATGTTATACCAAAGAACTTTAGTTCTCAAAGATAAGTGATTAATTTGATCTCTGACATCAATATCTGCCTAAGATTTGACCCCTCACCCAAAAATACATCGTACAGAAAGTCTTACAAAAATGTTGGGTAAAACTTTCTCACAGCTAACAGTTATTCCTGTGTAGCCTCTGAATCACAGAAGTAACTTCCGAACTTAAATGGCAAATACTAAAGCTCATGCAAGTTTAAAAAACGGTCCCTGTTTCCTACGTTTTAACATTTGCTCCATGTTGTAGAAAAAGCCAATATATGTAAATATATTTTAAAAGAAAGTGAACTGATTTAAGGAAAAATAAAAGCAAAAGACCAAAAATAAGTTTACTGTTTGCACTGCTAGTTCTAATTCACTCTAGCAAAAACCCGAGTCTGACACCCTCCAACCAAAAAAACCAGAACAAGCTAGTTCCATAAAGAAAACGATGAACGAGTACCACATGAATGTCCAGTACAATAAACTCGAACAGCAGCACACACATTATGTGGTGACCAAACATGGACATAGGCAGAACAGTATGGAACAAGCAGAGCCAAGAAAATTAGAAATAGGCCCTCTCATTCCTAAATGTCATGCAAAGCAGAACAGTTAATATAAAAGACGCTCAAAGAATCTGAAGAAAATGAAGAAAGAAGACCTCAATTATTAAAAGAATTATCTTTCAATAAAGGCTAAGTTAAAGGATGAGAATATCCTTGTGAAAACATGCCAAAGACAAAATGAGACAGTCCATTAATAGTGCACAATAAACCAAATACTAAAATGCCACAGAAAACAAACAAAAAAAGTAGAGGGGAAACAGCATGATGTTTCATTAGAAAACATGGTTAAACCACATGGTAAGATACTAAACTTCTGTGAACTTAGAAGTTAATTACTGCCCTAGCTGGTTTGGCGCAGTGGATAGAGCATCGGCCTGCGGACTGAAGGGTCCCAGGTTTGACCCCCAGTAGGGGGTGTATAGGAGGCAGCCGATCAATGATTCTCTCTTACCATTGATGTTTCTATCTCTCCCTCTCCTTTCCTCTCTGAAATCAATAAAAATATATATATATAAAAAAGCTAATTACTGAGTTACATGAATGTTACACATGAGGACCAACGCAACAGTGTACATTTATTCTGCAAGACATATTATGGAACACTACAGATTTTTTTAAAATGCTGCCAATAGTAACCAAGTTAATATATTCTACAGCTTAAAAACACCTGAAAGATAATGCAATACTTAGAATAATCTAGATCAGTGGTCGGCAAACTCATTAGTCAACAGAGGCAAATATCAACAGTACAATGATTGAAATTTCTTTTGAGAGCCAAATTTTTAAAACTTAAACTATATAGGTAGGTACATTGTTATTAACTTAATTAGGGTACTCCTAAGGCTTAGGAAGAGCCACACTCAAGGGGCCAAAGAGCCGCATGTGGCTGGCGAGCCATAGTTTGCCGACCACGGATCTAGATAAGACTTCAGGTTATAAATTGAATGATGTAGTTTTAATGTGTCCTAAGAAAGTACCAGGTCAACTGTCATTCTCACAAATTAGAGCAGGAGAGGGGACAATAATGCCCATCTCCCACTGAATGGTGATCACTGTTAAGTGAAAAAGGAGTATAGCTTGAAAATGGAACCCAGCCATTTCAAAGATTGAGGAGGCAAGAATGTAAAAATAGTACTTAATGAATCAAATTCTCACATAAACTAACCTTTCTCCTTGGATTTTCTATCTTGTTCTCTGTCCCGACTTTTGCTCCTGTGCTTGTATGACTTTCGATCCCGGCTTTTTGATCTCCTTCGATCTCGACTACGAGATCTATGCTTTCTTTCTGATCTATCATGGCTTCTGCTTCTTCGGCGATCTCTACTTCTTAATAATTTAAAATGAAAGGAAAGCAGTTTCAGCTGATATTACGAGAGAAATTATATACCACTGAATAAATAATAAGATTAAACTAAATTTCCCCTTAAAAGGCAAATGAATGTAATTTACTAAACCCATTTACACTAGACATCTTAACTGAAAATCTAACTTCAATTTTTCAAAGTGCTAAGATAGTTATCATGCTCTTTGACCCCTTCTTTAATCACAACTCTAATTAGAAGTTAATTTAATTTCATATTTTTGTTTTTAAAGAATTAGTTACATGTTTTAGTTCTTAATTATGCTTGATGTTGTTCAAAGCAAAAGTAGATAATCTTACCTAAAAAACCATATGATTTAAATGTTTTCTTAGGACCACTGAGAAGTATTTAAAAGACCACCTAGCCCTAACTGGTTTGGCTCAGTGGATAGAGCATCGGCCTGCGGACTCAAGGGTCCCGGGTTCGATTCCAGTC